CAGCGCGACCTGCTGCTCGCAGCGCTGGGCATGAAACTGGGCGCTCGGAAGTCGTCCGTGACAATCTGGCAACCTCTTAAACTCTTTGCTTATTCGCAGTTGACGTCGCTTGTCCGAAGAGCGACTCTGAAAGAAAATGAGCATGTTCCAAAATACGAGAAGGTTCATAATTTCAAGGTAAGGAATCTCCCTACTTATTTCTTTCTCGGGCACGGGGGCTATAGCTTGTGTTTTAAGACGGGTCCAGCATTGCACGGTATTCATAGGTATACAGACTGTGACTTTCTAGGAACTTAAAAGCTGCAATTAAATCTCGTTGCCGGTTAAATCACTTAGGCATCTTTAGAACATACCAGCAGAAAAACGAGGATTTTGTTGCTGGCTGCTTATGTGCGTGTATTTATTTCAATAATATTTGCTGTATCTGGGTTATCTCTTTTATTTTGAATTGGTTTAGACTGAGAGAGATGCTAAAGGAAAGAAAACCTGGCAAAGTTTTCTTTCAATTCAGATGAATGTAGTTCAGTTTTACTTACGATGCTGAAAAATCTCTTCGATCTGTGGTGAGATGATTGAACTGATTTTATCTCAGCTTGTTCCTGGTGAATAGCTTTGGAGGTAAGAAGTGTGTTCTACCGCATCTGGATCGAGCAGATGGTCTGCATTTCCCTCAGTTTCTGGCTTCTCTCCTGTGTCAGTGAATTGAGTGTATGGAAACCAGCATGGCTTATACCGTGGGGCTGTTGGAGCTGCTGGCATGAGTTGTGTTTAAACAAAATTTGCTTAGTCTTCTATGTAGCTTCTAATTATTGTTTTGTTTAAAATAAACGATGCTCATTGGTAAGAGGGCTAGGTGTCAATACAAGATACATGTTTTATGTCTGTGTCTGTAATAAGTGTCCAGTAAGGATTTAGTAATTTAACCTTCTGGCGGTGAAATGCATTTGATGATATTCAGTCTTAATTGTAAGACTAAGCAAATTGATGTCAAACTGAATATGATGGTACACACTTCATATATAGTATCTGAAGCACAAATTTTATCTTTACTGTAAAAAAAACCACTTTTATTTCTTTTAAGAGAAGGGGAGAGATAGTTAATATAACACAGGCATCTGGTGATAGAAGCATTAGTTAAATGTCTCCTATTTTCAGGTTTGATTTCCATCCGCGCGTGGGCGTGTGTGAATGTCCACATGCATGCACATATGTAAATTCACCTATCCACCATCTGATTTTATTGAAACCACCTTCTGGCTTTGGAGTTTAGATAATCACTAAAAGTGGAAATTTCATGCGATCAGGATGTTTTGTTGGATTTGAGTTCTCCCTAAAGCACGAATAGGAAAACCATGTACAAAAAATGGGCTGTAAAAAGTGTTTAATATGAATGCTCAGCATAAAATAATCCTGCTGGCTGTCAGTTAAATGCAGAGCATTTTCTCACAGGCTTCTGCGGTCTTAAAGATCTGCAATGTCTTGCAACTTTCATTTGTTCCTTAGAGTTGGAGGATAATTCTTGCAGATGCCAGCAGATAGTGATTTTCCATGTGCTGTAGTGTATGTGGGATAATACGTATTTAATTTTCTGCACATCTGTATTCCCTAGTCGCTTTCTTTTAGCAGCCCAAAACACATCTGTTATGAAAATAATCTGATAACCTGATTTTCATTTATTTAGGTTTGCTTATTTGTTTTTCTTCCAGAAACTGTTTATGGAGAGTTTGGAAGCTGTGAGTTTTCCAGTCTCTTTCAAAAACAGACTGTATGTCTGCTCCAAGGTCATAGCTACAGCACAAACTTTCCACACATATTGTTTTCTTTATAATGGTTGGACTGTAGTTCCTTTATACATATAGTTGCCGGAAAAATATACCTTGAGAAGTAACTCTTTTCTCGAGTCAGTGGAATGGAGTCACCTTACAGAGATAATTTTTGCTGTAAAAAGGTAGAAAGGGACAAACCCCTTACCCTTTAAAGGGTGTGCTGCATCCAACCTACCCACTAAAGGAATGCTGCTGGTGTTCATGAATTCTAAATGTGGCCACTGTCATACCACAAAAAAACAGACCATGAGCTCTTTATGGTTACTGTGTTATGGATCTAAAATGAATGACCATCATTAGGTCGTGTGCTTCTCCTTTATCATTCCTTGCATTTGTCAATTTTTTCTTCTCACACACAGATGTCATCATTTCACATGTCTGCAGAAGTCTCCTTAGGTTGCCTGTCAAGCAGCAAATGTGCCACCCATGTAGGATGGAAGGAGATGTCAGGCCCAGAGACTTCAACCTAGACTTTTGAAGCAAAACAAGAAAAAACTACCCAGAAATGAAAAAATTATATCTAGTTCAGCTAACCAACAGTGACTGCTGTCCCCAGAGGCTCCGCCAGCAAATAGGACTCCTGCTGCTTTGTAGCTCTGTGGCTAATCTGCTTTTCGCTTTGCAGGCACGAGGCAAGAGATAGGCACCCCTAACCCTTTCCCAGCTGCTTCTTTGATCAGTCACATCGCTAGTCACAGAAATGAAGGGGTCTCAGAAATCCTTTTATACTGGAAATGCTGTAGCATCCTGGCAGAGGGAGAAGAAATGGAGAATCATTAATGCACACCAACAGTGCTGTTGTCTTGGAGAAGGGAAGATGATAGCGGCAGGCAGGCTGGGGTTAGCAAACATCCAAGAGACTTTGCCACAGGCTAGGGAACTGCAGTTCTTTTTCCATCCCTGTACCTTCTGTCTGTGGGGTGGGTAGGTTGGGACACAGGTAGAGTTTGAACCCTTAGATTCTGCTGCCTGCAGCAAAGCTTGGGCAGAGGAACATGGAGCAGTGTAGTGATGGTCCTCACAGGAATGGAGATGCCTAGGGTAGGAGTGAACATGAAAGCTGCTTTTAAATCATCAAGAGGTCTCCTGAATAAATCCATTAATCTCTGCTTTGCTCTAAGGGTTGTTTGAAAGAATAATGTAAACACAGTTTTGCTAGGAGTGCTGACATGGCTGGGTTTTCGAAAGGTGTTTTAGCCTTATTTAAGTCTTCTGGAATGTGAGTTGTCTCCTGCCTGAAGGGACAAGCTGGCTAGTCGGGGTGACAGGAGCTCTGTGGGCAGAGCTAGCCAGTAATGATCTCCAGCTCTGTAATATTCTTCTGACTGGGGAGGTCTGGTCTCTCAAGAGCACATCTCAAATGCAAATACAGAATGGCTGAATTCTCTTAAATTAATCTCCATAAGTAAAGAAAGGGATGATGATTTATAAATGTCAGTTCTGAGTGAGTTTATAATGCCTGTTCCTCAGGATGGGAACTAGGTATTAAAAATATTTTATTTTTAAAGCATATTTGGGCCTTTTCTAATTTATAAAAAGTTTTAAATTAACATTTCTGTGTTCTCCTCTATAAATCTAATAAAAAATATTCATTTTCTATTAATTCAAATATATCAGCTCAAAAAGACTTACCTTGTTTGACACAGGATTTCATTTAGCTCTAATTGAATAATGGGATTTGAAGGTGAGCTAGGACTGCGAGTGCGCTTTGGGTCTGTCTGTTTACATATTTGATTACTTTTGCTTTCCCTTCATTTACCCTGCTTTTCTCAAATCCAGCACATTGAATGAGATCTCCTGTAAAATGTATCATTAGACCAAATCAGGACAGTCACTTCACCATCCTCAGCATTGCAGCACCACCTTCTCTCATGGAAAGGCTTTTTCTTTTCTTCCGTGTTACGGAGAATAAATCTCCCCACACTCTCTGGTACAAATGTATCTGTATGGACATGTGTGTGTGTGATGGATATCAAGCTCATTCTTCCACCCAATGTAGATGAACAAGAGCATCTTCTACTTGGAATCTCTGACAGGCCTGTGGCATGCCCTGTGAAGTGCCAACAAGGAGCATCGCTGAAGTGTTATTTTCTTACAAAAAGAAGCTTTGTCATAGGTGAAAGTTCTGTAGCAGAAGATGTACAAAGTTCTGTAACTTTATAGAAGTGGACACAGTAGATTCATACGTAATTGTTCCCACAAATTTATTCTACACCTGGACCCTACCAGTAAGAACGCTTTTTACTGTCCCTTATTAATATCATACTTGCTTATCTGGTCCTCAAAAATCAGTAACTGTGATAGCTTGTAAATTAAATTAAATTTCTTACCCGGCTGATATCTAATATGTCCACTAACTTTAAGAGTAGGAAGCAGCTGGGTACCTCCTGGCAGGCAGGTGAGGGAATAACAGCAGGAACCACAAATTTCAG